CTTGTTTTTACAACCAGGCTCTTCCCCTGCCAGCCATGTGTGTTTTGCTGACTCCTCCTTCCACTCACTGATAATGCCCAAGGGACTCTGAGATGCAGCTGGTGGAAGGTAAAGATGGCATCGAGGCACTTGGAAGCACTGGGCTGGTGCTGTGACACAGATCCAGCCCCAAAGTGGACACTGTTGGAGTCAGAGCACTCACTTGTGCAGCCCAAGGCCCTGGCTCATAGAGGGAAACCCCTGTACTGGGGTGCCAAAGGGCTCCCTACTCCCCTGTGCAATGCTTATTCTTGGCAAGCAGACACAAATGAGTAAATGAGCATTTAAGAAAGGTTTACAGTCCAGATGCAAGGATCTGGAATTTATATTGTGTAACTTCCTATTTCAGAATGCTCAGTCACAAATTGAGTTTGTGACATGACAATGGGATCAGGTCTGCTCACGTTTGAGCTGCATGTGGCTGCATCCTCAGCTGATGCCTCTGAAGACAGCAGTCAGTCCCAGGGCATTTGCCATTCTCCATTCTGTCCCACCACTGTAGGTATGTGTTGTTTGAGAGAATCTTCAAGCAGGCTTTTTGCAAACTCAACAGTTATGTTAATGAAATAAGAAAGAGCATCCTATCCTTGCAAATAATCATACTGCTTTATTTTTCAGTATCACAGTCTCAGGAAATGAAACAGTCCAGATCTTTTCCAAGATATTACATAGCCTTTTTTCCATCTGTCTGTCAACAAAATAATCAAATTAAATACAAATTTGTTTGTTTGCTACATCTATTACAGTGGAAGAACATAATTGTTGGTAGAAGCAGCTAGGTTCCAGGAACAAAGGGTGGAACAAAGTCTTATTTTCCCCTGCTTCTGTGTAACCCACTCAGGTTTCCAGAAAAGCACATGGAGGGACAGAAGGAATTGGTGAATAACAAAATACAGCAATTTATTGAACAAAATGGGGCAAGGCAATGTTCCCTTTACATTCTATGACAATTCAGGAGTATGAAGCAAAACATGCTATACACACACACACAGACATGATACTTTGGTTAAATGTCATTCAGAAGTTCTATGCCAAACCTGGTAAATTATAGAGTGAACAGTCAAAATAAAACCAAGAATAGGCTTGCATAGACAGATCATTGTCAGTGTGCAATTCGTATTTAAGGATTAGCTGTTACAATGCAGGATACACTTGCAGCTCTGAGGAATTTAAGCCTTCTGACTAATCCACCTCATTGCATGGCTAATATTTAGATTCAACAGGCTGAAAGTTTACCCTGAAGAGCTAAATGAAACAACTGCAGTTATTTATCTGAGGCAATTAATTATATTGCAGTGCACAGATGCAGCTGGAGACAGACCATGGAGTCTACTCAGAGTGAACACTGATACAGTGGAACTTGTTTCCCATGAAGTAGAAAATACTCATTTGTGTGTGCCACTGTCCTCTCTGGGACTCTCCTGAAGAGCCCAAACTGCCCAGCTGAGCCTTGCCCTGTGCTACTGATGGGGAGGAGGTGGCTGATAGTATCTCCAGCCCAGGAACAGAGGCTTGGGCAGCTCCTGAACATGATATCCATGTCCCACCGCCTGTCCTGGGCACAGCCAGTCCCTCCCCAGCAGTGCTGCACAGCCACAAACGTGCTGGAGTGCAGCAAACCGGGATCTCTGCAGGTTTGTGCCTGTCCTCTGCAACAAAAAGAGGACAAGCTACACCCATGGTGTGCTCCATGCAAGGGATATGTCCCATTCCCACCTCCCAAAGCAGCTGCAAAACCAGGCCCTGAACACCTTGGGAGAGTGGGGCAAACCCAAGTGTGCACTGGCTGGGGACAGATAAAGAGCAAAGCTCAGCCACCACCACCCTGCTGGGCATTCCTGCCTGGCACAGGGCAGCCCTGAGCCCAGGCACCCACCAGGCTGTGCTGGGAGCTGTGCCCCAGTTCCTGCTGCATCCCACACAGCCCTGCAGTGCCAGTGCTGCCAGGAGGGACAGCAGGAGCCACCTGCAAACACAGGAGATTGCTCTCTGAAGGAAACAGTGAGTTTCATGGACTGGCTGCGCTCAGTTACAAGAGTGTAAACTAAGTAGGGGAATCCTCACACTGTCTCCAAGTGCTCCCCTTTATACATATATAAATTAGCAATCCACAGTTAGTTTGCATACAGGATAATATGAATTAAAATAAAAACCTTGATAATAAAAATATATAATATACACATTGATGAACAGCAATAAACTGAATGAAAACACTAGAATGTAACAGTGGCTGTAATTTGGCACAAAATAAAAAACAGACATCTAGCACTGTAGAAATAACAACCCATTCTTTTCCATAAGTAGAGAATGTTATCAATCCTGATTCAAATCCTGATAGATGGGAATGCAGAGATATAAAAATACTGTACATACAAGATCCCTTTTTTAGAGAGAGAAGCAGACTGCAGCATCTGTAACTTTTATCCTTCTTCCCCAAGAGGAGAAATTCAATGATGAGAATTCATCTATCCCTTAACAGCTGATATTTCCTCACCCCACCAAGTTCAAACTCATGAAGTTCTTTAAAAAAAGATGAAATCAACCTGTTGGATCTATCCCTGTGATGAGAACTGCTTCTTGCTGCAGGAATCTGCACAGTCCCCATTAAGACAGAGTTTCACAGCAAGGTGACTCAGGTCAGCCTGCTGAAGACATCGAGTATCCCTGCGTGTAAGGCACGATCCCGTCAGGTCACCGACCTCTCTTCTGCAGACCCATTGTGCTTTGGACAGAGGTGAGGAGGTGGGGAGAACTCTTGCTGCTGAGATGAGCTTGCTAGGAAGGTCAGGAAGTGCCAGGATTTCAAGGAGGTGAATTTTCCCTGTGGTGCTGGATGCCTTGTTAATGCACAGAGTCAGAAAGAGATGCAGGACCCAAGCAACCTGGGCAGGGCTCCCAGCAAGGGTTCCAACATGCTACTAAATCCAGAGCAAACCCATAGGCAAAGCTACTGAAACTTGGCAAGAGTAAACAAGTAAAAAAACCAAGGTACATAAACATTTTTCTGTCATAGAGAAGAAATATTGCCGAGTGGTTTTTTAAAGGTTAAGTTTCATTGTGCCTCTTTCCCGGAACACATGTCCAAGGTGCTGATTTTGCATCTCACCTACACAAGCTGCATCTTCTTGATTCTCAGCAGAACTGTGGCTGCTGACCCCAAGGAAGGTGGCTCTTTGTTCATCCATAATCTCAGCTCTTGTTGACTTCAGTGGGACCATGGAATCCCTTTCCAAAAGTGGTCACTAAAGATGCAAGTCCCGTTGCAACCTCTGCCTGAGGAGGTCTCTAACCTGCATGGCTGCATGAGGACCCCAACCTGCATGAGATGAACAACTTATCCCATTCACTGCCTGCTTTCCTCAGCTGCCATTCCTAGCATTTCTCTCCCTTTTCTAGCAATGCCTTAGGAATCCCCTTTTCACAAGGATTATGGAGTAATAAAACAGGAGAAAGACAAGGAACAGCAAATGAATAAAGGCAGGCAGAAAGAAAAAAGGATGAGGACTAAGGGAGGATACAGAGCAAAACAGCTGACAAAGCATTCAGCACTCCTCAAAGGCATCCAAGAAGGCAGCAATTGCTCCTGGGATCCTTCTCTTGGGCTCTTGTCCCTTGGTGTCTGGGCCAGAGAGCTTGACTGGCCACTAAGGAGAGTTTACAGCTCCACAGAGGAGGCACTGAGGTGTTCTTCAGACTACCCAGCTTCCAAACTAAATTTATCAGAGTTTTCCCTCACATTTCTACTCACTACCATTGACATCAACAACTTGGATACTCCCAAGCATCCCTCCTGAATTAACAGGTTCTTCAAATGTCACAGAGCTCATGACTTCTCTGACTAGGTTAAGACAAAAGCTACACCAGCCAACTGCAGTGCAAGAAAGTCCATCACAGCCAGATACAGAGGCCCATGGAGGGCTGAATTCCTAGCTGGTGATTTCCCCACGCCTTCTGCAGAGAATCACCAGTTTTCTGCAAGCAAGTACAAAGCTCAACCGCTTTCTGATTTGGCAGGACTTTTCTCCATCCAGTTTTCACAAGTGCATCAGGTGGTACAAGCAGCAGTGCCTGGACTGGGGTGTTTGTAGGAAGTATTAATTCTTACAAACCCACCAGGCATCCATTTCACAACAGTAATTACTCTGATGGCAATGAAAGAAAAAAGCCCACAGGAAAAAAAAATGACATTTTCAGCAGTAGAAATTTTGACTGTTACATGAAATACAAAAACAAATCCATACAAAATAAAACCTTGGTAGATGAGGTTGCCACACTTGGCCAAGTTATCAAATAAAAAAGAAAAAAATAGCATCTATGTTGTTTTTTTTCTGAATCCTTTTAAAGAACATGAACACTTCTGAATGGACAGAGACAGAATGAGAAGTGGGAAGAAGGCAAGGACAGTAAAATCCAGCTGCTGACTGGGATATTTCCTGAGAAGCAGCAGCAAGCAAGACCCTGCAAGTCACTTAGGAGCAGGCAGGTGAGCCACAGTGTGGAAGCAAGGGATGCAGGTAGCAGGATTCTGCCCATACACAAAGTCCTACATGGCAAGGTTTTAGGTTAGGGCACCCCTGGAGCAGAGATCCTTTGGGGTTATGTGGTTCTTCACAGGTACTGAACTGCTGCCAATGGGCCAGTGGGAGTAGGAGATGGAAGTCTTTGAGTTACTGGTCAAGGCAAGACATGGCCTTGTTTTGTGGTATTAAACCTGCACCTGCAACTTATGTGAAAAAAGAGTTGCCCTGTCTTCCCAGTGATTTGGCCCAGTAATTATCCTGACCAAGAACAGCCAAGGTTAAAGTCTTACAGCTGCCTTAGGGCTTGAACTGTGCACTAGAGGAACAGCAGACAGCCAGGCTCTCTTCCTATTTCCTATTGGTGCTCCCTCCCCACAAAGCTCCAGAGAGCTGCCAAGGCCCCTTTCCCAGGCAGATCAGTGGTGAGGACAAGTCCACGTTTCCTGCCCTAGACACAGGTGTCTGCCCTCCTCTGCAGAGCCAAAGCCAAGAGAGAGTGGTGAGACAGACTTGGTGCTGGCACTAAGGCTGGGCTGCAGGGGCAAGGCAGCCAAGCTCTCTGCCATGAACTGGGCTGGCCCATGAATAACCAGCCTGCCCTGGCTGAACACACTCTAAGACAGTGTCCAGATGTTCAGCTTTGTAGTTTAAAAATACACCTGAAAATAATGGCAAAAAATTATTAAAAAGACTATAGAATTTGAATGAGAAGGCCAGGGGGAAAGGCTACTTTTTGTGCAAGAGAAAAATTGTTTTCAAAGAGTGGAGGGAAAACAAGCCAGGACGGAATCACTGCATGGGAAAATATATAAAGACAGCAAACCTGCAGACCCTGCTGTGCCCTAGAAAGCAATGATTTTTTTATTCCTGACTGGAGCTGGATGGAGCAGCAGAGAGGAAAAGCAGTCAGCACAGACATCGTGTGGACTGACCAGCACTCTGTGTCTGGCTCAGGTTGCCTGTAACTGTAGATTTTGATGCTCAATGCCCATATGGCCCTCTCTCCATCAGCCCCATGTTTACAAGACATATCCAAGTTCAGAAACAAATTACTCTACTCAAGTGCATCAGCAACTGAGCTAAGAGTTACATGAGATCTGACTTGGCTTTAATGAAATTCCTTGGCTTTTACCACACTGAAGCTCAAAGCAGGTGACCACAGAGGTCCCTTCAGACACACAGATCTGTTTGTATGAGTTTTCCCAAACCACAGTTCACAGCTTCTTGAACTCCCTGGCAAATACTAAGTCATGCATGCAAGGTCTAACTTCAGTTGGAATTGTATTTCCTTTTAACTGTTCTATCCTATATCCTAGAGCTAAATGCCTATATACACTCTATTCAGAATGTTGGAAACCCTAGAAAGAAATACAGCAGTTTAAAAATTCTGTTTCATAGGCTATTTCTGCCTCACCAGTCTCAGGGTTTGGCTTTTGCTGGTGTATGTTTGACAAGGCTCTCTCCTTCCTGCAAGCTCATATGACTGTCAGGTTGGCTCAGCTGTCCTATCCAACACAGGAAGAAACCCAATTCCTCTTATAGCTCTTTGCTAAGTTATCCTCATGTAAAAAGGACTTGTACTTCTGATGTTCTGCTGCATTGCCATAACCCAACTCATTTCTTCAATTTTCCCCCATTGTACATGCATCTCAATTTGTCCTATTCATCAGAGCTCCAGCCAAACTTAAAAATAAAAAGAAAGCCTGAAAAGAATGTATGAGGGAGCTGTTGAGCCAGCTGGTTGACTGGCACAGCTCAGTGGCAGCTAGATTATACTGCACTGCTCAAGTCATCACAGATGAGTAAGAAATTGAAACAAACAATTTTCCTTAATATGACAACACTTAAAGAGATGATCCTGGGAGTGGAGGGTGGGCCTCCCATCAGGTCAGGGATGAAGAATGTTGCCTGGCAATTCCAGTAATGTTTGCTACAGAAGAGTCAGTACCAAAGCAAAGGCTAGCACAGTTTACTGCTTCCTACGGGAACCTGGAAAACAAAACAGAAAGGAAACAGTCTGTGAGACTAAATCCTGGTGAAAAAATGATTGCCTGCAGACATATTTTACCTGGCCTGCCCTATTGTCCATCTTTCTGACTTCTAGGGTACTAGTCAAGTCAAAGGCCAAAATGGGAGCTATATGTTACATGACTCAAGCAAAGGAAGGACAAATCCATGGGACAGGCAGACATCTGCATTTCTTCTAGGGTGCTGCAGCCCCATTGCACAGTCTCACTAAAGCAAACACACCCTATAAAGTGCCATCAACTTTCCAGCTTGCTTGATGAAGACACAACCCAAGTTTACCAAACTAAATTTTGGAAAGGAAAGCATCCACATTTAAGTCTCACTGTGGAGTTGGAAGAAATTTGAGACTGAGTAAAACTCAGACTGCCCCCTTCCTTCCCCAGAGGCTCTACAGATAACTCAGACAATGGGCATTCAGATTGAAAACAACTGCAAGGGCAACCCTACCCACACTGCTCTGTGCCAAGTGATTTCAGGAAACAAACCAACAAAGCAGTGCTGAGGTGCTACAGGAATGAAACTAGCCTGCTCTCGGGACAAATTTCTGTCTGATCATCCCATCTGATCACCAGACAGGTGAGGTTCTGTCTTGTATTGGATTGTTTGAGAACAGTGAGTCACCTAAAATCCATCATAACGTTGTCTTCGTGACACTTCTTTGTCATTTGCTACCTAGATTTACAGTCATTCATCATTAAGAGATCAGAGAAGACATACAGACAGCACCTTGACAAATTCCAGGCAAACCAATTCAGTTTTTCAGTCTCACAGCCTGCAATGTGCTCAGCAAGTCCAACCCAAACACTGCCCAGCATCACCTGCCTGCTGGGGCATTATTCCCCTTCTTTATTTGCATCACTTTCCATCACTCTGTCCCCTGCAGGCTCCTTGTGTGAGGAAAAGAGCTGACAACAACCCCAGTGCTGGGCAGCCCTGGCAGATCCTACCTTTAGGAGAGTGCTCAGGTCTGGGGTGGTGGCGCAAGGGGCTGGGCTGGCTCGTGTAATACCGAGAGTGTTCATCCAGGAGAGGCTGTGACCTGCCAAGCACAGAGTCAAAGGAGTGCTGGGAAATAACTCAAAGTCACAGCAGTGCAGCAAGAGCAACATCTCAGCTGTCTGGCCTGTTACTGTCAGTTTGATGCAAACCTTGCCTGGCCCAGAGCTTCCACCTGCAGAACAGCTCCTCACTGCTTCTGCAGTGAGAAAAGCAGAGTATGTGCTGCTTGCCATGGACCTTTCATTTAATAATGGTTTCAGCTATCAGGAAATAGTTTCCATTATGAAGTTTACTGCAAACTTTACTCAAAAGGGCAGTGTTTTAAAGTGGTTAATGCTTGCAGTTTTACCCCCAGAGTATTTTAATGTGATCTCTCTCAATCTCCACCTGCAGCTCCATTTGTTGTTTCTTTTGCAAGTTCAACAAGAATTTCTAGGTTCGTTTCTGGAATGGAAATCAAAGCCACTGGGGTCACTTTCAGGGTTTAGTACCTCATGAAGAGCATTCAGCCAGAGTATCAAGGGATTCAGAAGCAGCACTGGGCTACAGCACGTTCCCAGTTTGGGATGAGACACCCCAAAGCACAGTGCTCTTGCTTGCAGGGTGGTGTTCAAATGCAGCAGTGGGAGCTGTGCACAGGACTCAACTGGGAGCAAGGACCAAGGGAGCAGCTGTGCAAATGCATGGTGATTGCTCCTTCCTGCCCAGAGATGACATTTAGTTTCACATCCCCAGAAGCTCTTTAACCCTCTCAAAGTTTCTCTGCCATTTAACAAATGTCACTGCACAAGCTCATCAATCTCTGTCAGCACTGGGCACGGGGACCAAGATGGACAAGTGCCACGAGCACAGTGAGTGACGGAGTGACGCACGTCACCAACCCCTCATGAGCTCCGTGCCCCTCATCGCCCTGCTCTCCACTGGGTGCCCTCTGGGTGGGTCAGGTTGGTGATCCCACACCTCCTCCCTAGGACTCAGCTTCTCAGCAGCTTCCCAGCTGCACTCCCCATTCTTGCCAGCCAGTTCAAGCTCACCTTGAAGGCCTGTCACTTCTGTGTCGCTGAGTTTCGGGCCCTTCTCTTGACCTTGAGCGCGTGGACTCGCCTGCATCAGGCTGATGGGAAGAAGGGAAATCAGCTCATCTGTGTGCCTTGCTAGGCACCGGCCAGGACACTGGGACTGCCACAATTCCACACAGACCTTTTGTGCTTGGTTTACACACAAAATTAACTACAGCCAGACATGCAAATGGCAATGAGCATCAGGAATCATTTTCAGCAAAAACCCAGCCTTGCCAAGCCAATTTCTGTGCTAAAACATGACAGCAGTAAGGGACAGTTCTGAAGCTGGGCTGAACACAGTCTGGGTGTAATGACAGTGCACAAGGCTGGGCTGAGCAGGAAGGACCAGCTGCAGACAGCTGTGCTCCTGCAACCACTGAAACTCAGGAAGGAGGCTGAAAACACCAGAGCTACCTCCATCTGGCCCCAAGATTAACACCACATCCCCTTTAGCACCTTAGCGGTGCTGACCATAAAATTTGTTTCCTATCCCCTTCCATGCTGGCCAGCCAAGTCTCTCTGGTGTTACTCCTACCAAAACCAGGCATGATAAACTCAGAACTTTCATTACATAGCCAGTTATGAGGCAGAGTGACAACTGAAGCAGCTGCATTGCCCTTACACAAACAGAACCAACTACTGCTTTTGAAGGGAAGGTCCTGCACCAGGGACTGACAGTGCTTCAGGGAGGCCACAAGGTGCTGTGACATCCAGTGCCATCCTCCAAGGCTAGAGTCCCAAGGACTACCTTGCTTGAGGCTGAAGCCAAAAGCATCTATGCAAGGAGGTGGCTCCAAAAGGCTCAGGAGCAGCTGAGTAACAGACAGCAAGACCCTTCAGATGCATCACCACCTTTTGCTCTCACTATACACACTCACCTCCCTCTGAAAATAGGAAAAATGTTATAGCACCTTATCTGTGGCGCCTCCGAAAACCTGCCATACCTTCCAATCTTGATCATGCCTCCTCCTTTCAAAGGAAGACTTTTCTCTTTCTTTCTCTTTTCTTAAAGCCTTTTTCTCCTCAGCCATCAAGAGACGAGCAATTTCCTAGAAAGGAAACACAGGCTCTGTCAGACAATTTTACTGCTCTTGTGGGTTTGAGTTATTCAAACCCCTTCCCATGGACAGCTGCTGAATGGGAAGGGTACAAATCCAGGATTTCATCCATCTGTGATCGGAAATCAAGGGACAGGGCAAAATTAAGACTGGCAGCATGCAGCATGTCCAATAGCTGATTTACCAGAACTGCATTTGCAGAACGTTTCTGCCCTCTATCCTTCTGACCCTCTATCCTTTCTGCCCTCTATCCTTCTCCTTAAGGGGGTCAGTGGTTCTTCTCATAGCATCTTGGATAGTCCCCCTTGGGTTTTAGTTACAAGAAATGCTCTTGCAGAACCATGAACTTCCTGCCTTTGTCATGGTTGCAACAGGCAGTGCAACTCTCTGCTTGGCCAGCCCATACACAAAACCCATCTGAGAGAAATTCCCACAAGAGGCTCAGGCTTCCCCTACAAGGAAAGAAATTAACAACTAGAGGGTCAGAGAAAACAAGGGCTGTTTAGCAGCTTCTGCAAGTAAAGGAATTCCACAAGTATTTGACTTGTTTCTCACCTCATCTTGGGCTACTTGAGCTGCCTTCTGATCTGCTTCATTAGCCTGGAGGGGGGGGGGGGAAAGTGGGGAAGGAAAATCAGAGACAAAAAATTACCATCTCTGAATTAATCATACTCATCAACCTACGGGGCAGGGCAAGTATGTGCCCTTACAAATACACCATCATCCTCTCCAAATACACTTAGCTACCCTCATACTTACCTCATAACCCAACTCCAATCTGCCATTTCAACTTTTCAGCTGAATTTTGCCCTTATCTATCTGCCTGGCCACACCACAATGCATTTCCCACTCTGCTGCCTTCTCTCTTAAAGACAGGCAACGGCCTGTCTCCTTGTGAGCTGCTTACACTGACTACATGCCATCTTCACCTGCCTGGAAACATCCATTTAATATCACTTTGCTTCAGCATTTTAATTTTGGGGTGTTTATTTCAAAAAATAGGGCTTATTAGTTGGAAGCCAGCTGTCACTCCATATTTGTGTGTATGGAAGACAAGGGTAATTAGCAGAAGGCAGCAAGACCTTAGGTCTTATAGTCACTCTTATACATTAAAGGTTTACAAAGCAAAGTTGTCTGTGCTGGTTGCCTTAGTTCCTTTGAGTTGAGCAATGCACCCTCTCGACTTACCAGGAGCTCTTCCTCCTGCAGCTTCCGAGCAATCTCTGCATCAGACAGCTCCTGTTCCATCCGGGGGCCATCGTACAGGCCTTGTGTCCTCCCCCTCAAATTAGTGCCTGCAGAATTGAGAGAAAACAACCAACTCAACCATTCTCCAAATCCTTTGGGAAGGAGATCCCCACCATCTCCTCAGCCACCTGCAAACCCCCCACTCAAGAGAACCAGAGATCATCACAGTGTACCTCCCACACCCCGTCTCAGACAACAAATGCAACTCCAGGGCAGAACAGGCCATGTCCCTATGGTGACAGCAGTGCTAGCAAAGGAATTATAACTTGTCACTCTCTGATAAACTTGTGACTCTCTGTATCTGATACAGATACAGAGGCAAAACTGGGCAGCAGAGAGCAGCCCAACATTTGATATGAGCACAGCAGAGTCTGAACGCACTGCTGAAGCAGCATGGGCTCCAAGGGTTACCCAGGACAGGCTCACATGAGTTTTCAGACAATTTCTTCCTTGGCATGACCAATGAATTTTAAAATTCAATGAGAAAACAGAAAAGTAAGCATTTTTAAAGTTCATATAATGTTCAGTTCTTGTTTTAAGTATAGAGTTCCGTTATTTCAAAGCTAAACCTTCTATTTCTCTAAGGAAAGTGTTTGTATCATGAGGAAGAAGAACTGTCCCAGTGTCTTTAAAAGTAGAATGATGGGTCTGGATCTTTAAAGCCAAGAACTTGTTGAGCAAGAACTACACAGGTACACATTTCCCAGAAAATTCCACTTGCACAGAATTTGGCAAGAATCTTGCAAATAGAACCCAGTTGGATGCCCAGTGCCACTAGTGATCTTTGCCCAAAATGAATTAAGTTGCAGCAGGGTTTTCAACAAGAAGTGGATGAAAATTGCTGGGTTTTTTCGTGCTTAAGCAAAGTGTGCTCACTACAGTCCTGCATCTCAACTCCACAAAATACAACCATAACCTAACATTCAGGGGTTTGTTCCCTTTTTTCCCTCCCATACAAGGAGGCCACTGCACAAAATGTATTTTAAAAACAAAAGCTGGGTGTTGGCTGGAGTTTTCTGGGGGGTCTTTCTTTGGGGATGGTGTGGTGGTTTTTTTTTGGTGGGGGGAAGAAATTTGTTTTCTTAAACAAAAGGATACCAAGGGCACCACCTCCAACAGAGCCTTCTTACTCATCCTCTCCAATGCCATGGAACATCAGGATACAGAGCAAGAACATTAATTGATAAGAAGAATTCTGCTAAATCAGGAAGAAACCTGGGCAAGATTCCCTGTGTACACATTGCAGGTAGATACAGGAGAGAAGCATCTTCAAGGAAGGCAAACACATCTTAGACAACAGTATGGGGCACACAAAGGTGCCACACACAGGCACACCTTCCCCATCACTCGGTTACCTGGGTCTCGCTGGCAGTCTCCAACCTTCCCCTGGCTCACAGCATGAGGGGAGGGGGAGTGTCTCCTGTGTCCTGCCCTTTTGTAGGCTCTTGCCTCACCCCTCCTATGGTCATCTCTAGATTCAGCATCACAGAGCTTTTCATCCCATGCCATCCTGTGTGACGAGTGGCCCTGGTGGTGAGATCTGTGTTTCTCAGGGTGCTGTCTGCCACCCCGGTGCCAGGTCTCCTGCTCTGCCTCCAGTTCCATCTCAAGGAGGGGAAGGTGCTTTTCTCTGTCTTGCCTTGGTGGCTTTCTGCTGTGCCGTGCTTCCTCTGTGAGTCCATGCTCCAAGCCCAGATCAGGACTGAGAAGTCTCCTCTCCTTCTCCCTGCCAGCTCTCCTCCTCTCCTGCGGCTCCCAGCTGTTGCTGTGATCATAGGCACGGTGCTCAGTCTCTCTTTCCAGGTCAAGGCTGAGATGTCTCCTGGACCTTCCCTGGCTGCTTGTCTTCTGCTCCTGCTGCTGGCCATTTCTGGCCTCTCTCAGCTGAGGAGACCTTCCACGGCCCTCTGAGCTGGAGTGCCCGTGTGTGGGGGCACGGCTGGGCAAAGGTGAGGGGGGTCCTCGGTGCTCTCTCTGCTGGTGCCTGCCCCTGCCATGCCTGTGTGCTCTGGGAGCTTCAGAAATCTGCTCTCTGGGCTCACCCCAGGGCTGCTCTGAGCAATGGGGGGACAAACAAGGAGGGGGTTAGTGGTGCAGGGGTTAATGGAGGTTCGAGGCCAGACTCACAGCAGGGAGAGGAAGGAGCTTGATACAAGGTGCTGAAAATGCAGGCAAAGCATGATGAAAGAAAGAGTAATAACAGAGACAGATAAGGCTGGCAGGGTATAAGAGAAGACACAGTGAAATGGCAGCCTGGCTAGCAGGGCAGCACAGGAGGCAACAAGGTTGGAACAGAAAGCACAGGTCCAACCCAAAAGTGTCTGAGCACTTCCTAGACAAGGACAAGTCAATACAGAGACAAATGACTTTTAATGATGCCACTGGGGCTGAAAAACTGCCAAGAGAGCAGCTCATCTCCTGATGACACATCGCTGCTGCAGGTCCTGAAACCACCTGGGGAAGATTTGCAAAGAAGGGCACAAGATGCAGGAAAAGTTGGGAGACAATGAGGGGCATAAAGGCAGGAGGGGCCAAGCAGAGTGGTCAGGTTGGACCCTGGTTTATAAGCACAGGTGAGCCTTGCCCTGGCTTCAGGGACAAGGTTTTTCATAAGAAAAACTTAACTGTGGGAGAAGACCCACATAAAGCAGAAAAGAAGTAAACAGGTAGGATAGGAGGTTTTTTTTCCTTTAAAAGCAAGAACAGGATAGCTGCAGCATCCAAACATCCTCCACAACAGACTGTCTTGTATCTTTTGCAGACCCACAAGTCTCAGGGCCTGCACTTACTCATTGTCCAAAAAGAAGTTTCAGCTCTGAATGCAAAGGCAGTTATGGACAGAAATTTTAGGGCAGATTAAGACTTCAGAAAACCCAGGCTCCTGACCTCAGCATTGCAGCTAGAAAAGCTGCTTACTTGGCATTTTGGTGGGATTGTTTCCTCTCTGCTTTCCAGAAAGCAGGTAGAATTTTTCTCTGCTTTTAGTTTCAGTAATAAACCTGAAACAGCTATGAGGATGCAGCAATCTGCCTGCATACTATTTACTAATTGATTTATTTTTTCAACTAACCTATTTGCTAAGTAAAATCATTGCACAAAGTGAACGATTATCTCTCTACAGCAGCTTTTCAAAATAAAAAAAATGCCTTGAAGCAGAGATTGATTTGAAACAGAACTACACACACAACCCCCACCAGAAAAACCCTGCAGCAGCAGACTTTCCTCAACTGTCCAGAGTTTGCTTTAGAGTATCTCAAAATATTTTAAATAGATTTCACTGCACATGAATTGCATTTTTTAATGAATAGCTCTGTCTCACAATCTATCTAGATTTCACAGGGAGAAAAACAAACCTTACACCAAAACTGAATGTTCCCTTCGAGTCATTCTATTCAGAAAAAACTTTTTCAGAGCCAGCAAAAATAGAGCCTACAGAAAATCCACCTTCAAAACAAGTCTGTGTGACTTTTATCCAGAACAGGTGTTTTTTTAAAAGTCCAAGAACTGTAACAGGAACTGCTGTGGTCACTCTTTAACTGGTTGGGTTTTTTCTGTTGAGTTTTAGATCATAAATATGATTTACAGAAAGCAAATAACCAATCAAACAATCCAAGTGACTTACTGAACAACAGAGACCAGAGCCTGAAAGCAAGAGTCACTTTTTGAACAACAGTCACTGGGATCAAAAAATTAATTCAATTTTGTCATTGAGGAAAGCTCAATAAATACAACAGCAGAGAGCAGGAAAACACAAAAGAGCAAAGCCTGGCTGTGCTGGGAAAGGATTGCTGCAGGTAACACAACCATGCCAGACAACCCAAGCAGATAATTTGTTTTTGGGGTATCTCAGGGTGATTAATTCATCAACAGGTGCTGGTTCCTCTGGCACCTTCCATGGGGGCCATGTAAACACTCCACAGACCCTGGTGTTACTCTCTGAGGCAGCAAGTGACTGAGTGAATACAAAAATGTTTTTCATGGCACAGGCACTGCTGGGAGGAACTCTGTCTTTTCTTGTGTTTATTTTTCCACTTTTAAAGAGCTCAGGTTGCTTTGGAGCAATAGGCCTCATCCACATTCCTCCTGGATGTGGATAAATTTTACCTCATTCTCAAACAATAAGAAAAAAACCCCAAAAACACACTCCACCCTCACCAAAACAAAAACAAACTTAAACAAAGCAAGGGCTTTTTATTTGTTTCAATTCACAACTAATGAGGACAATACAAACCAAGGCTGCTGAAACCTAATCAAATGGTGCTCAAGTAATTAAGAGTTCCCAGAACAACAAGCTAGATGATCCAGGAATAAAATCCACTCCAGTCCTTTATAGCTTAAGGAGCACAGATTAAGAGCAGCACTGCAATGACTGGCCAGGCAAACACCTCCTGCCTCACCTTCAAAATTATAGATTATTGCAGGAAGAAAACAGGCCCACAAGATATCCTACCTTCCAAGTCCAAACCACAGTCTTACTTCAGGAAGTCACAGGCTTTGTCAGCTGATTTGTTACAAAATCCATCCTGTCCTTCCATCTCTGCATGCACACTTTTGCCTATATTGTATTTTTTCAGACTTCCCCCATTTAATTCTGAAAACCTGAGGAGTGGCTTGGCTGTAGGACTCCAAGATCAATTTTTCCCAGCTTTGTACATGTAGAAGGATTTGTGATCATGAAGTTTCCACTTGGTTACTGTTTTGCACTTTTGAACTTTGTGCTTTGAACTCTCTTGGCTATCTTTGAACTTCTTCCAAATTGAAACTAAAATACTTTGTGTAAGTTCAAATAAAGGATTTTAAATTGCCAATGGCATTGATGTTAAAATGAGAAATGAGGTTTGATCTTCATCTTCACAATCTGTTAATCAAAAGCAACCCATCTTCCTCACCACATTTTTGAAGAAAGAACACAGGAACCACCACCAGCACAGAGCAAAGCCATCCCCAGATTGCTCCATAATTAAATACACCCTGATTCTCTCCTCCCAGCTTAAAGAAGGTCTGTATTCAATCACAGAAGCTGACCAAAATGAAGCAATAGAGCACTGTGGATCAAATCATTTCCACACTGTACAGTCCCAGATGATAATCACAGCAGAGACATTCTGTAGAGATGACCTTGTTCTTCAGTAAGTCATTCAAGGCAGTTGTGCTAATTTTACAGCTTGGATACATACCTGCAAGGAGCTATTTTTGAAACATCTCCATGAACCAGCATTTATTCCTTCATGTAGCTGTGCCAGCATCACAAATGAGCACATGGAACTGTCTCTCTTCAAATGCAAGCATGGAATTTCACCAGCATTTCTCCCCCACACACCCCTGGTGTGACACAGCAGTAACTACCTTATCAGCCACTGTCTTCTTCCACAAGCACTTCTAAAACATGCATGTCTGGCTGTACTTGCACATTCACAAACCACCTTACCTATCCCTGTCATTTAGGCCACCTTCAAGGACAATAAAAACTATTCAATTGTCTTTGCCTTTTTTTTTTAACTAAATACTTCCTGATTAAAAAATAATCTGATTCTGACCCTAGAAACTGATGTAATGCTACAGTGCTAAATGCAGGTCTGTAGCATAAAGTTGAGTCTGAGGGATAAAGAGTTGTCAGATCACCAGGTTCACCTACATTGCCATGATCCTGACCTTTTATCTTGCAGAAACATACCTCCATTTTGTGCATAATAGCTCTCTTCATAGCCTGTGTGTCCCTGGGACTCTGGGTAGTGCTTCTTGTGCTTTTTCTCTTCCTGCTGTTGTAGGAGACGGGCAATATCCTGCAGAGATGGAAGAAAACAGCCATGAAATCACCAATAAAAAGTATCTCCAGATACTTTTGATCAAATTCTTTATTCAATTATTAAAATCCTTACAAAAAAAAATTAACTTTTCAGACACAACAACGGTTACTCAAATTCAACCCCTGGACTGGATGAAGCTTTCAAATTAATGGGTGACACAAGAGGCCATATCAGCAACCAGTAGTCAACTCAGCCCAGTACTGAGATTCCAACACCATGGCAAACTCCCAGGTTCCTGCTCCTCCTGCACACAAGCCTGCTAAGCCCTAAAGGCCAAAGCAGGGCAGAAGAGACTGTGTGTGCAACCTCAGGCTTTCCACAAGGATTTGGAAGTCACGAAAGTGCACAGCCAGTAATGGCAATGGGCTTGATCTCCTCCTTACACTCTACCAGGGAAAGAAGAGCACAGAGGCAAAGACTGTCCAGCTAAAGGCACTTCTGACTGGAAGGAGTTCCCCAAGTAAACTGTGAACTCACTTCACACTGGCTGTAATTTGCAGGGACTACAGGATGCCAGGCAGGGAAATGCATCAGTTTGACAGACAGAGACTTGAAGGAAAAGAAAATCGAAAGGACATTAGGAGGAGCAAACTAGGCACAAGGCAGGAGCACAGTGGGGACTGCAGCCATTTGTCTCCTGTCACAGTTTTGGTAGATATGCCAAAGAGAAGAGCACTCCATTTTCCTAATTGGCTTTCCTTCCAGATGACTAATGGGTCAACAAGGCCTAGGAACCACAAACAGCTCCCTGGGGCCTGCTCCTCTGAGGCCCATGAGCTTGTGAGTCAGTGAAGCCAGTCTGGAGCTGGGGAGCAAAGCTGGGAGACACCAGCATGTCATGCTGCCCCTCTGGATGCTATTCATTTAAGCCTTCCTAATCCTCAGGACCTTTACAGAGCCATGCATGTAAAGTGGACACTGCAGGCAGGAAAGGCATGGCTGAAATGCAAACTAAGAGTCAACACCCTCCAGAGCCAAGCCAGCACTGGAGGACCTTGGATGGCTGCTCAAGTACAAACTATTATTTCAGGATTCAGGGAAGATCTGCTCTGAAACCAGCTTTGTGGAAAATCTGGGGATGCCACAGGCTCTTTCAAAAAAAAAAAAAAACAAAAAACAACCCAAAAAACTAAACCTCCACAAACTCCTTTCCCTGACAAGGTTAACCTTTCTAGCAAGTACTGTAAGTCTATAAATATATGAGCTAAAGCACATTATCTCCAGGACTGAGACAGCTCAGGACTTGCAAATCCACACAAACCACTTCTTACAAACAGGATTCATCAGCAGGCAGGGCAGGCAGGCTTAGTGCTTCATTTAAAATACCTGCACTCCAGAAAGGATCTGCCTCAGTCCTCAGCTACATTACAGACACACTTGGGAACTTCCCATGTACCAGCAGGAAGAGAGAGAATATTTATGACTTCTCCTTGCTTTAAGGCACAGTCAGCTGGAGCCTGCTACCAGCTGCACAAGACGGTCAGCAGGCAGGTTTGACAGGCTGCAAGGACCTGTGGTCAGACTGCTGACATCCCTGCAGTTCTCTATATAAAGCAGGAAGGAAAGGTGCAGTTCTACAAGTCAATATTAGTTTTGTATCTCCTTCACCTTCCTGATAAAAATATGACAGATCAGTACCTTTTAAGCAGAAATCCTATAGCCAATGGGCTCCTCCCACTCTGTTAGCACAAGCTCCTCTGGGAAGCCAAGCCATCCCATCTGTCTGGGCAGCCTTTCAGTACTTGCTTGATACTGAAGTAGGTAGGAGAAGAAAATTAAGTCTTGCAAAAAACCCCAATGCATTTGTCAGGCAAGGGCAGATTCTTATTTCAGGCTCTGCCAGGAAATACAGCCTTGTGTTCAAGCTCTTCCTAATACAGAGAATTCTACCAGGTGCCCCTTGAACATCTCAAGACAACCCAGGCTCCTCAGGAAACCATCTGAAACTGCAGGTTCTCACAGGTGTTCCTCGACTCTGTGGGTTTATTGAAAACTATCTGACAGGCTGATCCATTGAGGCAACCAACAAGCAAAACCCTTTGTACACTATGAACAAACCACACCACCCACTTTCAAGCAAAAGGAGCAGAGAAACATTCTGAAGTCACAAAAGGAATCTGCTTACAGATTCCTTACAGCAAGAAACTGTAACAGGGTGTTCAGGCTGTGAAATACTAAATTGAAGAATGGAGAAGCCAGAAACAGATGGCTGGGCTGAGAGTCTGAAATCTTTGCATTAAAGACAAAGAAATAATGGCCCAGGATTCTCCCAAGAGCAGTACCTGTCTTCTTGCATTTAAGAAAGCAAGCAGGTCTCAGAGTGTAAAAACAATTACAACTTCCTACAGCAGGGCAATAAACACCTCAGCAAGACTTACCTATTACTTGACCTCTTCATTAGCAAGGCCACTGGCATCAACAACCCTTATGACCCTTGAGTGTGAGGACCATGACTGTATCTTATTCCTGTAACAGGACTCCCCAAAATCTCTGTGCATACAGAGCTCTGTCATGACAAGGACTGCCACCATGCAAGCCAACTCCTGTGGCTACTGGCCAAGAAATGTCTGCCCTGAAAAGGCTGCTACAAATAGCCCTGCCATCCATCCCTGCAGCTTTAAAGGTTACCTCGTCTTTTTCCTCTTGCCTGCGGCGCTCCTCGGCTTCAAACGCGAGCTTCACTTGGATTTCCTGAGCAATCTCGCAGTCCTGGCGTTCCCTGGAAGGCAAGGAGACAGGGATTATAGGCAGCTGCACTCACAAGCATCAGTCAGCCTGGAGAAAGGGATAAAAGAGCTAAAAAAAAATCCACCCAATTTACACAAAAGAATTATTACTCAGTGTTAGTGCAGAGCTATGAATCCTCACCAGAGACCAGGACTCCCTGTACTTACTGGTGGCCAAATTTAGAAAATACTTCCCAAAACATCCACGGAGTAAAATGTAAAAGAGATTCATGGGCAGGTTGCTAAGAAAGGAGATGGGTACCACAAAATAGGGCAGGCCAAGGTAGTGCTCAGGAGTCTGCAAACAGCCTAATTCTGCTGAGTTTTTGTCCATGTGGTATCTAAGGAGAGGTTCAGGGGTATGGCTAATGCAGGCACTACTGGGAAGTGGCCTTCACATGTAAGCCAAGGAGAAAGAAGTGCAGTAATATGGTACATAAGCCAAGTGGAGGCTGGAGGTGGCAGTTCAGTAATGAATGAGAAATGCCACTGAGGTGGGACAAGATACAAAAGCAGGATCAGTGCCCAGAGGCAAGGGAGCAACACGTGTCAAAACAAGGGGGAAAGGAGCCACTGCCACAGTGCCAGTGTGGATGGAGGAACACAAGACTGCATGAACTGGGGACAGGGAGAGATCAGAGCAATTGAGACATGAGAGGTTTGGCTGTGCAGACAGACCAGGAAGGCTGAAAAGCATCTGCAGGAACAGTGCCACACTCAGCAGCATGCTCTGATGTCCAGCAAACAGGCTGGAACAATGGCTCAGGATTCCTCAGGGCAATTCAGAAATGGACTGGGGCATCTGAAAAGAAAAACTAAAAGTTCTCTCTCTCAGCACTGTTGAGATTGAGTTAAAGACCAGCTCTAAACATGTCAGGAAAGCCAATCCCCACAATTGCAACTACTGAGAGGCAAGGCATAGGAGGAAAACAGCTGTGAGCAGCAGCAAGCAGAGCCTGCCTTATTAGAATACACTGACAATGATCAGACAGGTGATGAAAACACTATCAAGAGTGGAAGACAAGCAAATAACTGAAGCAGACTGAGCTATGTCAAAGCTGTGCTATGTGGGCTGGGGCAACTAGTTCTAGGTTTAAGCAAGAATCTGGGCATAAATGACCTAGTGAATCTGGAGGCAAAGGACTGGGAAAGAACCTAGGACATGAGAAGAGGAAGTTAAAACACTCAAGTGCAGACAAGCACATTTTGTTGCAAAAACAAGAAATGTGGCATGGATGGAGCAGCCAGTAGCACGGAACCTTCTTTTACAGAAAGTAAAGAAGAAGGAGAGAAGCAGAAGGAGTGGATATGTGGCAAGGATGGAGAGGAAGAACATTGCAACAACAGGGTTTTAGAGGACAGATGTCACTAAGGAACAGCCCATTTGTCATAGGCAACAAAAAGGTACACACAGCAGGAAGGAAAAGAAGATTTCTGTCAACAGTTCCTTGGGAGCAGACCTCTGGACTGGAGTTATCAATAGGTCAAACATCCCAGGATACAATTTTCTTCATCCAGATAATAAAACCTGGCAATTTTTGCGTGTGCCTGTGTGTGTTTCATTTGACTCTGGGGACAGATCTGTTCAAAGCCACGAGAGTTCACACAGCAGCAAATCTAGTTCTTGAACTTGCTTTTTAAAAAGAGACTTTGGCAAACCTGGCACCAGCAGAGAACCACAGCTCCCAGGAAAACAATATCTGAATAAGCAAATCCCAGGGAGCAGGCTGTCCGTGAGCCTGGTAGTGGATCCTTTACAACCCCAGGCTCTGAGGACATGAAACTGGGTAGAAAATAAGTTAGAAAGGTCAGACACATCAAGGCATTGCACGTCTCCAGTTCCCCTGGCACCTGTGAGCAGAGCTAAGGTGCCAAGTTCATCAGCACAAACTGACTTGCTAAATGCTTAAAATACATCCTATTGAAAACAAACAGGACAGAAAAACAACTAATCATCTTTCAGAGCCAAGGCAACAAGGTCATTGCCTCTCCTGCTGGTGTTACCAGCAAAGAACACTGAAGTATTGCAAACACAAAAGCATTTTCTTCTTTCTGATGACACATCTTGGAATACACCACATCAATTCCTAAGAACAACAGTTATAGAGGATTAGATTTGGAGGTTTATTGCTCAGCAGTAATTAAATACTGAGACTTGATTACTTAGTGAACATGAACTAATGTATTAACTTGTGTGAGCAGAAGAAAATAGGTTCAAGAGCTTTGACAGCTCTTCCTGCCCTTCAGTTTCCTTAATGTGAGCTCAAGTGCCAATCAGACCCCAAAAATCAGCCAGAGCAACATAAACATCACCATTCCTGAACATCCCACTCATGTGTCCTTCCCTCCTGGGCAGCCAGGAGTGCTAAGAAAGTCGAGAAAATTCTACATCAGTTTAGAAAAAAGAGAAAAAAACCTAAAAGTTTGTGTGATCAGAAAGCTCCCTCCCATTCACAGTGACTGCAGATACTAGTTGTTTCCAGATGAGGAGAAAAAAAGGGATTGTTTAAGGGAACTGTTCAAAGGAACTGTTCACATCAGTGCAACAGAACTATCACACACTGAGAGCAAAACAGGGAAAGAACATATTTTCACACTATTTTATTTTAGTAATCTTGCTACTATGCTTAGCAGTGTGCAGGCTGCTCAGCTAGATGCGAGAGATGCTTTTAAAGAAGCATGAAAATCAGGTTTGATGCTTCCCTGGATTCTTAAAAAGAGATGTTTCTCTCCTCTCATTTATCTTCACAAAGTCTTTCTGAGAGAAATTAGAAAGCCAATAAATTTGAAGAGCTTTTTTGTTTCCTGTTTCTAAAGACCCCTCAGTTCTGCTCTCTTACTCCTTCCATCACCTTGTAGCATCAAACTCTGCTACATGACACAGAAAGCAACAACAACAGGGATTATTTTGTTGCTAGTACATGCTACTCTTGGACAAGGAAGAGATAGTGGGAATGTACAAAGAATTAAGGAAGAAACAGATCCAATTACAAAAGGATGCCTCCAACTTCTTTTACTATTCTTGCAGAAGAGCTCCTGCTCTCAGGAGCAGAACTGCTGCTGACATAACGTTTTACATCAGCAGTTCTGCCTGTGCTTTGGCTCACAAAGTTCATAAATGCCATTTTAGAGTCCTACAACAAGAAAATTGTTTGCAGCTCCCAGCAAGTAACAAAGAAGAATCATGTCTGCCATACAAAATCAATTTTTATGTTGTCATTTACTCACTCACATCTCTAATTGGTAATAAAGAAATAGAACTATTGAAAAAAAGCACAGACTTAGAGAGATACATATGTACACAAGGTCTGTACCAGTGTGCTGGGAACATTGAAAACAGTGGCTGATCTGTCACGCCCCAGCTTCAGAGCTTTCATGAGCTGCTGCTTTGAAGCCAGTGCTGTATCTCCTACATCTGCAGTACAGAGCTCTTCTGCTCTGTCACTGGTCCTGCCAGATGAGCCATCCAGGCTCAGTGATCCACCCCCAACTGCACCTGGTGGGTGGCATTCCAGAACCCAACAACAGTCAGGAGGCAGCACAGCTGCTGGGAGATGCATCCTGCCTTGCAGACCTTGTGTTTGCAGGGACCCCCATCCACCCACATCTCACAAGTGGGATCTGGCTGAGCCCTGTCCCATGAACCATCCAGTGCTCTGCAAGCCCACTCTGGACTGGAAAGCACAGTTTGTTTTGCCCTGTGCTGCCATGTTTCACTTCTACACCAGCTCCACAGCTGAGAGCCATGGCACACAGAGAGCCAAACCACAGACCACAGGGTTAAGATGTGGCGTGTGGGGACTGAGCAAACTGGATCAGTCATTAAACCCTCCCACAGTTACTGCAGCAGTCAGTGACTGCAAGAGAAGGCCTGTCCCCCAACATCCATCCCCATCAAGCCACCCTGGAGCAGCAATTCCCTTCCCAGGTCACTTCATGTTGAATAAATAGCTGCAAGCACACACAGGGCCTGTCAGTGCAGCAGGACACCAAAAGCATCACACCCAGCTCCTCAAAAACATTCACCAGGCACAGGGCAAACACACCAATATCTGCATTTCCACATGACAGAGATTCCCTGTAGCACTGGGTATTTCTGTGGCACAGTTCCTTCACTCTCAAACTTCAGCAAGGGACAAGGTCAACACAGGTGGCCAAGTTACCCCATTTTCACAACAAGCAGTAGAATGGGAAGACTCCTTCTCATGGACAGGCAACAGTATCTAAGGCAGGATGGGCTCCAAGACCACCCCACTTCTCTCATTCCTGTGCCAGAACCTGGTATCACTGCTTTCACAGCAGTGGACAGCCAAAGAAAAAAAGAAACAACAGCAAAAGGCTGATGAACCCCACACACTGTCAGCTCAAAGCAGCTGCTATTAGTGCTCTGACCAAATGGGACTAGCATTCCCATTCCAAGATCTCCAGCACAAACTCACAAGTCTTTTTGGTGTTTCTGGATTTGAGCACGGGCTTTCTTATCCTCCTCTTCCTGCAGCTGCTTGGCCATCTGCAAGTCATGTTGCACCAGACGATTACGCTGAACATTTGTGGCCAAGTGATGCTCAACTGGAAATAAACACAGACAAGAACCCTCAAATCAGGCTGCAGAACTTCACTGAGTGAACAAGATAAACCAAGTGGGAGGGAGATTCCAGCCCAGAAAGGAAGACAGATCTTGGCAGGGAAACACCAAGCAATCTCTCCAAAGGTGGGAAAGTCCTGAACTGAAATTCTGCTAGCAGCTTGAGATTGCCTCTTTTCAGCACTGTGGGGGCTGTATACGGGTCTGATACCAAAACAAGTTCTGTGTATCTTAAACACATCCAGGTTTATAGGGAATGGTTTTTAGGCTTTGAATTTCATTCTCTGACCACAGAAAATCACCACAGACAAATGAAGTGGGTCTGGGAGGGACCACCAGAGGCCAGTGAGGATGAGCTGAACCTAAACCACTTATTATGGACACTTTTCTATTTTGTTTTCAATAACCTCTACAGAAGAAAACTCCTCTCACTCTCAGCAGAACCAGTTCCAAAAATCTCCCTACCTTTATATTTAGCAACAGAGCAACTTCGTGCTCCAGTGAGTCCTTTACCATACATGGATATTGCCTGCCAGAAAAAATGGCTACGTGAGCTGCAGCCCAGAGCCCTCTTTAATTCAATGCTCTCAGGTTCCAGCACCAAGGGCATGAGCAGCTGCACCCTTGGTGGAGCAGCAGGAATGGCATTAGCACCTGGTACTGGCAGATACCAAATCCATGAGAAGCTGATTAGAGAGGCCACCACACCTGAAACTACAACATAAACATACCCAAACTAAGAGATAAGCATGTAAAAAAAAAGTTAATTAAAAAAAAAAAAAAGCGCCAGTCACTTTGCAGTTTCTGGCTGTCCTTTTTTTCCTCCTTTATAAACTCTTCTAGAGTACAGCTGCCCTACCTCAAAATGTCTGAAAAGAACGGCTCCTTTCAAAAGGCAGACACTGGTAATTCTGAAATAAGTAAACAAACAGACCTCTTCTGGTGGTACTTTAGGTCAGACTATAAAACTTGAAGCTTCCAAAATTGCTAGTCATTTCTAAAAACCTTGCACAGCAACAAAACCCCAAGTGCACTCCTACATGCAATTTTCATCATAAATGGCACAAACAAACTCAACTCTAAAGGAGAGCTCAAAATTGAAATATAAAATGCAACTATCTCTGGGGTACAATGTGAGCTGGAGCAGAGTGAAGTGTAGTGCTACAGGATAGTGAAGACAGCAATAATAAACTGTATTCCATTAAAAGGAAAAAAATTAAATAAAAGCAGGAAGCATTTTTCTTAGCAAAATCAAATAAAGCCAGCTATCTGCTGGGACAAGCTGGCTTCAGTTTGCTCTGAAGATTGTTGCTACTTACTCTCTTGTTCCTGTAAATTATGGGCCAAGGTATGATCTTCCAGAATAGCGAAGTCTCGACACACTGAACAGGGAAACAAAGTAAAGAGAATTAGCACCAGAAAAACCAAAAGCAAACCAAAAAAGCATAAAACAAGCTATGGTAGTCAGGGGAGCATATGAACTTCTGACAGTTTCTACTAGCCAAGGTCTGGAATTGTGGTTTTTCCCCCCCTCCTATCATCATGTCTATTTTTGTGTGCGTTTATTTCTTTGTCCTTGTTGGCATGAAATACCTTCTCCACTCTCCCTTCAACCTCTATTTCAAGAACAGAACAATCCATGCTACCACTGGATCAGACCTTACATACAAAGCTCTGCATTCCATTCAAACAGAATATATATTATATATATAATATATAATGCATTCTGCATTCCAGAATATATATTATATATTTTTACCAATGCCCAACTGACTGCATTCAGCTAAAACCAAGGGCAGGCATTTGTGTTGACTGTGACTTTCTGTGCCAGGTTAAAGAGTCTGAGAATAGTATTTTCATGGCACAGAGGGCAGGTGCACATTGGCACCTCTCCAAAGCTGAGCACACTGAGCTCCATGGCTCTCTCTACATTTCTCTCAAGGCATTTCTACCAGCTCAGGTATCATTTTCAGTTGTTTCTTGTAAGCTTCACTGACTGTCTAAAAGCAGATGCTGGATTTGCACCTAGAACCCAGATATGGGATCAGCCACAGCATTATGGGCAGGGATAACTACAGCTTCTTCAAAAGATGCTGAAAATGACCTTCAGACAAGTGAAATGGGAAACAGACGAACTGCCTTTGGCACCAGTTTAAAAGCAGCAGATTTTTGCCAATGCCTATCACTTTCCCACTTGAACTTTCAAAGGAATGCTCTACCTACACTGTAGAAAAACACCAGAGTATATTTTTAACTTGTTATGATAGGCAGTAGGGCAACAGAACACAAGCCACACATACTGGGACAGGGACAGACACACAGCATCAGGCTCAGCCTTTTGGTGGCAGGTTCACAGCAGCTTTTCTGTCAACCAAAGACAGTGACCTGTCCCACCAGACTGCAGAATGGGGCCTCTCTTCACAGATCTGCCAGATCTGGGGTTTCTGCCTGCTTTGAGGGGAGTTTTAGGCAGTGGCACCAAAAAATATACACTATAGAGGTCTGTCATTTATTTTTCCCTCAATGTGACAAGCTAAGCTTAACAGCACCCACAGAGGGGAATATCTTCCACTTGAAACATATCACAAAGCAGAGAACTTCAAGGTGCTTCTGAAGCCACAGAGGGAAGGACAAACTCCTCCTGCTGCACTCCACTGGCAAAACCTCTGGGGAAGACCAAGATTTCTCTTTAGCAGAGCACAGGCACAGCCTAAAAGATAAACTGAAAATAACCCCAAAACCCCCAGAATGCATCAAAAGTACAAGGGGAATTTATGAGGATCCTGTTTGTGAAAGGGTTCAGAGTCAGAAAAGATAAAACATTTCCACTGCCACAAAGGAAATGAGAAAGTAGCTGCATTTCCCAAGCCACAATCCCACAAGCCTTCCCTTTTCTCACAGGTGCACATGCTCCACTAGAGAAGCATCAAGACATTACTCCACACCCAGGTGTCCTCACAAAATATTTGGAAGAGTTTCTAGTTGTCTGTACCAAGAGATGAGACAATGCTTTACCATATTCAATGGAGTTTTTGGTTCAGTCTGCACTGAAAGGTGTTTTAAGATGACAAAAGCTCCTAAGAGCCAGAGCAACACTTAGGGAAGGACAGTGACACGCAGCAGGGTGGAGATGAGGACAAAGGTTACACTTATATGATCCCACAGTCGCCCACTTTAAGCATGAATAAATCTGGATGGTGTAATTAAGGTTTTGCTGTTGCTTTTTTTCATTGCAACTTCTTTTAAAAAAGGCAAGATGATATAAAACTCAATAGCATTGAAATGCTTCCAGTGGCCATTTCTGTACAAAGAAAGAAATGTTGCCTTGAGCCACAGATCTGGAAAAGCCACAGCTGAGTCACATGCAGCAGTGCTATTCACAGGTGACAAACACAGAGTGCCTGGTGGTCACCAACACTTGCTTTTTACAGGACAGGGCAAGGGAATCTTGCCCTAGAGACTAATTCTGTGATCCCTAATACTGCTTCAGCTTCCTAGAACAATTGTGGAGCAACCACCTTCTGCTCACAAGAAACATCATCTGGCTTGCTGGAGAACCATCCAACACATCCAACTCAGAGGTTTGAGCCTTACCATGAGTTCAGAGCTGATCAAAGACACCTCAGCACAGAGCCAGTCTGCCCAAATCTAGGGCTGTTATTACTGCCAGGTATTCAAGAAGCAGTACTTGCTCTTGAGTGTTTAAAAAACAAACAAACAAGAGAATGGTAGGATGGGAGGGAAGTGTTACTTTTAACTGCAATAGGTCTCTGAGCAAGTCCACAGCACAGCTGCCTGAACAGCTGGACCAGCAACACAAGGCACACAGCACAGGAGCAAGGATGAACATTTCAGAGCTACACATTTTTTTGCACAAGGATCACTGCTACAAAAAATGCTTTAAAAAGTACATCCCAGCCCTTCTTAAAGCCACCCTGCACAGGCTCACACACTGCTCTCATCCCTGTGGTATTCAAGAGCTCTGACTTGTCAGTCAGTCATGGTGCTGATGGTGCTGGCAGACCTTTGCTCCACCCTCCCCAGAGAGGCAAACAAGCATAGGAGGACTTTAGCTTTGTTTTTGTTTGTTTTTACTCCATTCTACCCACACCCAAACACATTTCTCTGTTTGCAAAAGTACACATTACAGAAACATGCTTGGCACATGGGCAAGAAAGTGGGAGTGCCATGGTGGAACACTGCTCCTTGTCTTCTGACAGTCTTGCACTAACCCCAGAAAAGTCTCACCTCTATCACTGAGCTATATTCCTACGATGCAGCAATGATTGTTTAACCATTTTGGGTTGACAGGCCACTAAAGACTTCCTAAAGAAAGCATGGGCTCAAAATAAAAAGGCAAAGTCCATACAGACTTGTGTTGCATAGACAGGCCTGCTTCTTCTAACTAACTGCTCCTCCAGAAAAGTGCTGGAAGTAATCCATGGGTGTTCAAACAAACTCCTCAAATTCTCACTCAGTTCTTACAGGCTACAGGTGAGAGCTGCTGGCTGTCACAGACATGAAGCAGGGACAAAGGCTCCTGTTTAGGTTGGTTTGAAGCTCAGTGACTGGGCCAAGAAGCACATGTAGGCCAGAGTACCCTGGTGCAACTTCCAGCTCCTGACCCAAAGCCACCTAGGTCCAGTGCCATCCCTAAGATGGCCACGCAGCACCCAGACCTGGGGCTGTGCCCTGCCACTGCCTGTCCCACATGCACACAACACTGACAAAGCAAGTGGGAATGCTGCCCTGGGATGAGCTACCAAGTTGCAGGGCTTGGACATGAATAAAGGGGCTGGGTCTTAAACCAGTGATATTGACCCACCAGTACAGAGAGAGGGAAGCTGGACAGTTACCAGTGATGTGCACACTGGAAACCTCTCAGTGTCTGGGTTCCCTGGTGCTCCCATCTCACAGAGGACAGACACAGCATGGAGCAGACTGGTGGGGCAGCAGAGAGCCTTGGGTTTGTTCACACATTTGGAATTATTTGAGCATTGCTGAAGAAGCCATTTGGCTGCACACACTCTCCTGTTACAAACCCAAGCAGACAGCTTGAGCACACAGCTCTCTCTTTGTGCTGCTGTGGCTGCTGGCAGGGCAGGCAGCACAAGAAACCTTTCGTCACTGTCAGAAACTTGGCTGGGCTGGCTGCCTCCAAGCCATGTGAGCACATTATCCTCAAGTCCCATCAGCCTGAGAACAACGTGCTAAGGAAGATGAGAACACCCCATTAGGGACACAAGGAAGCACTGTCAGCCAGCCAGGTGGCAAAGGATGGGGACACCTGCACCTCCCTAGCAGATTTGGGGCTGATGGCAGTGCAGAACATTCCCTCACAATTAGACCCAGTACCCATGGCACCGAGCCAAGCATGACAGCAGCTGTGAGTGAGGCCAAGGAAACCAATCCTTGAAGACTCACATCCAACAATGAGGCAACTATGAAATTACTGGAGATGTGGACAGGCCAGGCATGTTCTGAAATGAAGTTTCATCAGCACTAGTTCTCATTCCCTGCCCAGTCTCAGCAGGGTACAGCACAATCATTACTAGGTTCTGTGTACACTGGGTTTGTGCCGAGAAATAGGATGGCCCCAAGGACAACAGACTCAATTCCTCCTCTCTGAGAGGCTTTGTATTTAAGGGAAAAGAAATCAATTTCCTTGCTTCCTAACTGTATGTCTAAAAAATGAAAGGTGAGATTAATATTACCTTCACTGTTGCAAATTAACTTGACTTCCCATCCCTGGGCCCTGGCTGGGAGCCACCAGGCAGTCAAACAAGCAGCAGGGGTGCAATGAGAGCAGCTACAATTGGCAAGTCCAGTGAAGCATGGAACATTCACAACAGGTTTACCAAGTCTGATTGAGCCAATCTACCTTGGCACAGCAGGGAGAAGACCAGGAAAACACTCTGGCACAGCTGTCAATAAAGAAATGCCTGCCCAGGAATCCCAGTGGCTGCTATGGCCAGCAGTGGTGCCAGCTGGGGAGGATGAGGGCAGAAGCATCAACCTTAACAGTGATAGGATCCAAAATCCATGCATGGAAGAGGGAGCTCACTTGTCTTGAGGAATCCCTGAGAGCCTCTGCAATCTCCAAGCACAGATCTTCTCCTCTGGTAGTTCTCACTGGAAATATGCTTTTTGTGTATTGGTGCATCTGAGGCTCTTGGAAACGTGGCTGCAGCCCTGCCTTTATGGCTGACATAAGAAAGTCCCTAGGCACAACAGCTCAGCAAAATTTCATTAAATAACCTCTTCCATTTTATATTCTGCCACCCATATAACTAACTTTCTCCAGCATTACCTCAGCTCCACAGCTCAGCATTTTTAACACCCCAAACTGTTTCAAACAGATGGAGATAACCACAAGAGAGGA